CTGCTAGGAATGGACCACTGGTCAGATTAAATGTCCTCATAGGCCACAGGTTGAGGCTTCCTTGTGTGGGGAAATAAGTGCTTATCCTCAGTGGATTCTTCCTCCTGATGGATGCTCATGTGTGAGACATTTTTCTTATGAGTTCTTTCATTGCTTTGCCTGGTGAGGCTGTGTAGATTTCAAGCTCCTTGTTTGTTCTGTTGGTAACCACCCAGAGATCGTCCTCGTCCAGCCCCACAAGGATCAGGGCTCAGTACAGCTGTATAGTATACATTTTGACTGCTAGAAGTGAAATTGTTAGACCACACAGTTTCCAAAAGCTGGGCCTTGGTGTTTCTGGAGATGAGGCCAAGGAAAGTTCGGTTTCATGGAAACATATGAAATGTGTGTTTTTTACTGTAGTGTATTGTGTTAATGGACAAACAAAGTGAGGACTTGTGAGTTACGTTGCTTCATACTCAGGAATAATGTGTCCATCACCTGTTTCTGTATTCTAGGAAGCAGACTGTAAAATTTTTTCTTCCAGAGTGTTATTTGTATCTACCTGGAAGATATCTGGTCTGTTGTCCATGCTTATATTATCAAGGTTGACACAGAGCTATTGTTTTGCTAGTATAAATGAGAAATGCAAGATAAGGGACGATTAAAGATTGGAAAAATGTGTATCATGGTTAATATAAATGAGAATGCCATCTTTTCTAGATGGACTGGAGAAAATACAGTAAGAAAGGAAATGGCTAGCAGGTAACAGGTATGTTACATCTGAGCATTTCTGAGTTTCGAGTCAATACCGAAACTGAGATGTTTATTCTATCATTTACACCTTTCTTGGAAAGGTTACAAAAAGTGGCAAACATGAAATAAGGTCTATCCCTACATAATATGATTTTTCTTTTCTGAAGAACCTGCATATTATTCAATCAAAAAAGTCCCATAAGGCCATAAACTGGGCTAAAGCTTTCAGCAGTTGCCAGAAAAATAGCACATAATACAAAAGAAAGCTTTCCACATACTGTTTTGGCCAGTTCAGAGAAAGTTTGTGAACCACAAGAACTAAAATTCGTATATCCAGCAGGCTATTCTATAGTTGGGAATGAGCAAAAGAGGGCCTTAAAATGACATTTTTTTATATTGGATTTAGTACGTTTATGTATCTGTATTTTTGTAAAGTTCTGTATCATTAGCTAGACAGACACAGAAACACGACTCTGCACACATCCCTGCATTGTTCTGAGACTAAACAAACCTGAAATCACCGAGAATTGTCTTTGCAGCAAGAACTGTGGATCAGGACACTGGGTGCTGAAACAGGGCAACAAAGACGAGGCAGTGGAACTTACTCCAGTGTTGAGGAAAAGGGGTTAGAAATCAATGTGAAGGCAACCAAGAGGTCTGAAAGGTTTCCTGAATTCTGCTACTTTATGTTCTGGCCTTTAAACAAAATCCACTGGTGTATGAGCTGCTGAGGTAGGTCAGACCACTCACTGGTCTAGGTAATCCATGAGCTGGTCTCCTTTCGGGCTAATGTCATATCCCTCAGAAGAGGGTACAGAAGAACCCCGCAGCTGTAGCTTTCTGGATAAGGGATGGAACAGGGAGCCAAGCATCACAGGCAGGTTTGAATGTTAAATTTGAAGATGCAAACTCCGAGACGAACACTGGAAACCTTACAAATAAAAGTATAGAAGAAAGATAAAACTAGATACTCTTATTACTCAAGCCTTTGAGAGCAATTAGGATGAAATGGAGGTTTTGACTACTAGTAATGTTTCAATACTGCTTTGCAGCACTTCCATGTGTTGTGGGGGAGTGGAGTCATTGGAGCGGCTGTGCAGAGCAATGTCAACCCAATCTGCGCATCCGTAGGCGCTATGTACAACAGGAGCCTAAAAATGGTGGGGAACCCTGTCCTGCTCTAGAGGAGAAGGCTGGCTGCCTGGAATACCTGACTTACAAGGGAGAGGACTGCGGCCATGAACATGGTATTCTTTCTTTATCTGTACATTGTGCCCATCAGGGCCTTCAAAAATTTTCCTGATGTTAGTGAAATGAAAAAAAAGAAAAGCATCTGTCTGCAGCAAGCTGGTTAAAAATGCAATTTAAACCCTTGCTTTCTACTGTCATGTTGCTCTTATGTTTTTTTCCTACTCTTTTCTTAATTTCTATCAAGTAAACAACTAAGCCACATGCATTCCTTCAGTCTGTTGTTTTAAGCCCCTCATTAAGTATCAGATCATCTCTGTGCAAAGTTAGAACATAAATTCAGTATGAAACAGAGCTCCTTTTAGGATTTTCTATTTCCTCACAGACTAGATGGTATGCATTTCTACATGTATTTCTTCTGAATAAGCAGAGAGCGTAGCTGTAGGGAATGGGACTGATGGCTGACATTGCCAACATTTTATTTTTTCAATAAAGTCAGTCAGCATCATCATCCACAAGCTCCTGATTTATTCACCCACTGTTAGAGTAATTGAAATATGACTCAACTGTGTCTTGCTGCCTAACCGTAACTGTTTTCTTCCTCAGTCCCTGCTTTCATAACTACCTCTGAATATGGTAAAGAAAGAAAACGACGAGCAGCATCTTCTCTCTGGCCTTCAGACGAAGAAGCTGGGTAATCTATTTACTATATGCATGTTGCTTCTCTTGTTCAATAGAAAATAGCTGGCTACAAAGAAAAATATAATTAAATTTGCAATAATTAAACACTAAGCTAGAGCTTGTGCTGTTTTTCTCTCCTGCAGTTCATTTGCATATTCTGTATATTTTTTTGTTTTTTTTTTTTTAATTGCTTGCTAATCATCCTGAATCAGACATCAGGGTCTGACGACAGCTCATACATGTACTACTTTCCCCAGAACAATAAAGCCCATCAGTATTCTTAAAGCCTCTTTTCCATGTTCTATTTTTTAGCAGCATAGAACCAAAAATATGGGTTACTGAGCTCTGTTTTTCAACATAATTTAAGAATACAGAACGCAACCAGAAGGTGAAATTATACCTAAAGCACCGGGCTGGCGTATGGAATGAGAAATAGCTTGCATGTTTTAAAGAATCCCATCAGAAGCAGACTTGTTGGCAATGATGATGTCGAGCTTGTACTTCACAAATACGACCCCTATGACATGAAGTACATTTAAAGTGTACTCCTAGCCTGTGCTTTACCTATCATAACTAATTTAGTACTTTTCCTTCTAAGCAGATATTGTGTAGAATTTAAAACAGAATCACTTTCACACCACTGTGCTTTGGAGAATCGGCCGTATGCTCGATGGATGCAGTACCTACGAGAAGGACACGTTGTGTGTGTGGCTTGCCAGCCTCCAGCTATGAATACCGACACACATCGTTGTTCTGGAGATGGCCATAATGCAGACGGGTAAAGAAAGTAATTTTTCTGCTGTGTCTTCTGTAGGAAAACCCAATACAGAAGTTAAAGACTTCTCATAGTCTCATTAAAAGCTGCATTTATTATACCTAAAAAAAATTAAAGGGGTCATATCAGTTGTACAGCTCAGACGATTTACCCTCTCAGTTGTCACAGAAATTGCATTTATAACCTAGATAAAAATCAGGAAGTAATTTCAATATGAGTTCAGTGCTTTGAATGCTTTATTTACTGTTGTGAAGAGATAATGCAGCTTCTGTAGTGCAAGAGGTCTTTTTACAGCTCTGGGCACTTTTACTTAAAAATGGTGTTTTCTGCAATAACCCAAATCTGATTTCTGGTTTAACTGTGGTGGATCGGTACTCTTCTCAAACTCATACACCTGGTTTCTAGAACAGTAATTCTGAAAGTGGACACTTAATACTATTTGGAACAGATTTTTATTTGATTCATACGCTTCACAGAATCACAGAATCATTGAGGTTGGAAAAGACCTCTAAGATCATCAAGTCCAACCGTCAATCCAACACTATGGATGGCTATTAAGCTATGTCCTGAAGTGCCACACCTACGTGTTTTTTGAATATTTCTGGATATTCATACTAAATACCTGTACAACCAGCTACTCAATCCACCATCCTGTACGCTATACTTCAGAAAAGAGTGCCTACTCCAGAAAGCATTTCAGGAGCAAGATGAGCTAATTAAAGTCTTATATTATTAAGCAAATCTAATCTTCTGAAATATGACACAATGCCATCTAGTAAGATGATATATACAGTTCTCAATGTTTTAATTCCTTATTTATTGTCACATTTCAGAGGTAAAATCTTACACTGGGAAGCAGTTGGCAACTCTCAGTGCCAAGGGACCTGGAAGAAGATTCGGCAACTGGAACGCTGTTCATGTCCCCTTGTGCACAGCTTTATTTTTACATAAAAATTTAAAAGACCTTTAAAGCAGCAACAAAAATAATAAAAAAAAGAAAACACCAATTCCAAGAAGCCTACCTATTTCTGCTGCATTTTCTGGAGCCTAAGCAATCTGAACTTTGGAATAAGCATTCAAGAAATTCTCTGCCTTAATACAAACCGCTAAGACTGATCTTTGTATTAGAATACTAGAAGCATGTTTCCATGTTTTTCTTTTGTAATTAAAGTGCTAATGTTTCTAACTGTAGTAGCTACTTTTCCTAAAGTTCTCATGCTTTACTGGTGACAGTCCTGTCTACAGACACAGGTCCTACTCATTAGTGAGCCAGCCAAATACTCTCAAGTCTCAGAACAGTTACTGTCATCATTAATCAGCAAGGGTGAATAAAACTGAAAATTTGAAGCTAAAACTGGATTTTGGTTTAAATCCTTTGTACCTTCCCAGTATCAGCTAGACCGTTGTTTGTACAAGTAGGTAAGTATTCTTCCTCTACATTGTGCTTTTCATGTTCAGGCACCTTCATAAAAGACGTACAAGTAGTCAGTAATTTTTAAGGAAGTAGTCTTGCTCAGAAGTTCATGTCACTAATGCACAGTCTGAACATTATGGCAAATGAACCAAAACAAGATAGCATGACTAAAACTTTGGCTAACTTTGCTCCTGTACAGTAATTCATATAGCAATCTGCAATTTTAGAGCACTGGCAAGACTGCTATGTAGGTAGCTCAAATTCTTGTTTTGTTACTTATTACTTAACTTGAATTGCTTCAGTGTTACAGCATTGAAGAGGCTGCATACTCTAAAAAAACTATTCCTTAAGATTGAGAAAATTTACTGTTAAGCCATGCAGCATCTCCGAGGAACCTAAATACTACTGCTTGCCACTGTTTCTAGCAGCTGCAAGAAGAAACCCTAGTGTCTGATAGCAAGAAAGAGGAAGGTGATCTGGCTGAGGTCCTGTCCACAAGAAGAGTGTGAAACAAACCTTTGTAAGTGTACTTTACTATTTTATCCTAATGGAAACATGCCTCCAAAACAGAAAGCTGAAACATTATCTTAATACTTACTGAACATTTTAGTCCTCAAGAATATATCTCTTCCTTTGTAGCCAGGAAATATCTCAGGTTTATTTCATTATGACCACTTTAGACAGATACTTTTCCTTGTAAGGTTCTTGTAAAATAAAAACCATATCCAAGGACAAAGGTCCAGAAAATATTTGATGAGATCTCACTTTTAAAAGAACACTTAGTAATATGCTAGTTAAAGTTACTAGATTCACACGAATGACGGTGGAAAGTAGGAATTTTCTGGGGTTGTGAAACACTTTTCCACACAATCTAAATCAAGAGAGTGTACTGCCATCATCCATTAGTCTCTCATAAGCAAGACATTTACAGTGACTAAATGACACCTTGATAAGTTGTTACCCTGTCAGAGCATATCTTTGCTATCACTGCACAGACAGTGGAAAGCACAGATGAAGCTGTGCTATCAGTTCCAGCCTAGACTCATTACTGAGTCTCACTCTGTCCACTGGATTTTAAACTTCCCCTTCCCTGCTGATCTAGAAGAAGCCACTTCTCAAGACAAGGCAGGTGGCACAAGACAATCAAGAAATGCTAAAAGCTAGTATTGTAGTATTTCCCCTATGTTTTTCATATCTTGTGTGAGATGTGCTATTATGCCAATATACAAAAATGCAATATATTCTTCCACCTAGAACTTAAGTTTACTTCAACAACAAAAAAGCACCTTTACCATTTATAAATATAAAAATACATGAGTATCACATTTTTAATTGAAAGAAAAAAAAAAAGGAATCACTTTGCAAAATTAGTAATACCGGCACACACATATGTTTTGGTATACAGACAGAGATTACAAGTCTGACCAAAACTTCAAAGTGAAGCAATTGAAGTTACAATGGGCTATATGGCCAGAAGTAAAATGACATAAAAGCTCAATCTGACTAGACATACAACCCTTTAAAAACATAGAACGCTTCTAGTTAAGTTAGCCTCTATCAAACTAAACGTGTAGCCGGTTATTTAATACCTCTATGTACATAATTTACCTTTCTTAAATCATTGCAAGTTTTTTCACGTTGCAGAAATTAGGTCGCCTATTGTGTGTAGATAAAAGATCAGGCTTTACGTTTAAGTCATAATTACCCAAGCAAGTGAGCTTATCTGGTTCATGGACACTCTGAGACTAAAGTAAGTTATTTTTCTGAAGAGTAAGACTAGGTCCTTATGAAGGGAAAGGCCAAGAAGAGTTGATTCTCATAGTCCAAATTAGTTTTGTACGATCTTGCACAGTGTTCTCCATCGGTCTTTTAACATGACGCTAGTTCGGTTGTTGAAGTCACCATGGGCCAGAATTTTAGCCCAGTTACCCACTCCAAACTTCTTGATTCCTGATTTCAGTGCCAAGTCTTCCTTGTAAGTCCATAGCTAGGGGAAGAACAGAGAAAAATACTGGATATATGAACAGAGAAATACATTAATTTAAGAGCTAAGCTTAGAGAAAATATACTGTTATTACGGAGTACAGATGCCTAAGGATCAGTAATTTTGACTTCTGTTGAGCACCATAACTTTAGGCGAAATACAACAACAAAAGTTACCAAGTGTTACAACACATTAGCAGACATCAGTCACCTGGAAACAGAACCACAATGTTCACAGGTTACAGGAGAATAAGAAAAGAAAAAAAGACATTGGGCAAAGTTTTGCGTCATTCAGAACATGCTTTCCAAAACTGTACTTCATTAGCTAACTGAGCTAAGACAAACCTTGATTGATTCTAGTGTTCATCACAAAAGAGAAAGCATTTTGTGACACATTAACCTAGGGACTGAGAATCAAGACACCATTTTGCAAAGGAATTTCAGTGTGCTTTTTTTTATTTAAAAAAATCTCAATATTTAAAACATGGACAGAATAAAAATTATACATTTTGCATTTAAAAGTGAGATCAGCCATGTCCTCAGGCAACAGCTATACATTTGGTTTTGGCCATTTGTTAAGCCCACTCTCATGACCTACAAGCTTTTTAATCTTTAGGGGATGACATTTCTATCATAAAAGGATAGAAAATTACTAGCAGTTATACTTCTGTAAGTAATCCCTTCCAATGAAGTTCTCCAGCATACTAATTCTTCCTTAGTTGCTTCTCGGTACAAACAATTTTAAGACTGCACACAGAGTGAAAGAAAGCTCGTTTAAAAAAAAAAAAATAAATCAAATACTTGGTTTTAAAAAACTTACCTGTCCAGTGAAGTGTGAGGGAGCAATGAATATCAACTTTCACTGTAGCTTAATAGAACTGCGCATATATATGACATAAATTCACAGATTCTATGCATCTTATCATGCCTATTTTTAACCACTACATTTTTAATATAGGTGTATTACAGCAATTTTTTCAATCCTGAATAGCAATCAGCAAATTGAATAAGAAATTATTTCAAAACAACTTATTCTGCTAGAATCTGATCCTCTGCAAATGTCTTGCTTAATACACAACTAATCACACCAATGTACAATCAGCATACTTCCTTTTGCAAACTGAACTGCTTATCATCTATACAATTACAAGGCAGGATCCCCAGTTGAAACAACTGTGCAGGAAAATTATTTCTAAAAAGTAAGTATCAATTTCTGTTTCAAACTGCAGTTTGATAGCATGTTTCTTCTATTTATTTTCTCCAAAATCTGAAATGTAAAGACTTAACTAACACTAAAAAACATAAACCTAAAAATGTTAATGAGACAGAGATGTACAGAGAATTGCATTGTGTAGCTGTTCCATTTAATTTATCTGTGTTCACTTCTGTTTCTTGCACTGGAGATGTCCTGCTGCTCCTGATGGTCTCATATACCATAGTAAGTTATGAAAGGAGACAAATGGTCAATTTTCACTGGTCTCATGCTGGCATTTCTGTGAGCACCAGCAGATTCCGTATTAAAAATCATTAGTTACTAGACTTCAACAAAATCTGCATGTGTTTATGTACATGTCATGAGCAAATGCTAAAAACTCAACCAAGCTCTTTTATTTCTGCATTTAATGATTTCCTGTGCTTTACTTACCTTGGTGTCGCTCTGGAATAGCATTTTTGTTCAGAGGCAAGTGGTTGAAAGCACTGCAATTACTTATTCATATTCGATGTGTGAAAGCAAAATAGTTAATGCCTCACAGGCCTTGGCAGGCCTCAGTAGTTAAGAAGCATTTGTAGCTAAGGGTCAGAACGACTTAATTGGCAAAGGAGTGAACTATTTGAAAAAGGATGTACTGTCTAGAGCCTCCTTGTCTGATCAATTTCATTAACTGTTGTTACCTACCACATGCTGCTTATCTGACACAGTTTTAGTGAAAAATGGGTAGTACAAGTTGTAGGAACTCCATAGCTGCCTCAGCTGGGCAGAGCTCAAGTCAGCAGATGCTGTCACTCTGCTGCTCCCTCTCCTATAGCCATAGCAATAAATTGTTTCTGCTCTGACCTGATCTAAATTGCAGTTTCGGTTATTTCCACAACAGCATCTGGTGCTGCGAATGGGATTCCTAAGTCCTGCTATGCTCAGGAGGACCATGGGCTGCTCCCTACATCTGCTCAAAAAGATACAGGAGCTTCCAAAATCTTTGCTGGGGCTTCAGCTGACACTCATCTGTAGGCTCCAGAGGCATGCCGAATCCCAGCTTTTAATATGAGTCAGTCCAGTGCCCCACTGCCACTTAAAAGGTAATTGTAATTCTGGTCTGGTCAAGGCATTTCTGGTATCAGGTAAAATTTAGGAGAGGTTGGTTAGGAACATCTGAGTTTGTTTCAGCTATTAACATGGCTAAGAACATGGAATTAACAAGCTGGGTTCAGGATGGGGCTGAAGCAACCTGCAGCCACCTCAGCCAGGATTGGCATTAACTTGGTTGCAAGGGTGAGGGGTTTGGTTCTGGATTTTCAGTTATCCCCTACTCTTCCCCATCTTCAGCATGAGCTTCCA